CCTCCATGTGCTGCAGGGGGACAGCCTGCCTCACCATGGTCTTCACCACGGGCTGCAGGGGAATCTCTGCTCTGGCTCCTGGAGCACCTCCTCCCCCCCCTTCTTCTTCACTGACCTTGGTGTCTGCAGAGGTGTTTCTCTCACATGTTCTCACTCCTCTCTTCGGCTGCAGTTGCGCAGGGTTTTTCTTTCCCCCCTTCTTAAATCTGTTACCCCAGAGGCGCTACCACCATCGCTGATGGGCTCGGCCTTGGCGGGTCCGTCTTGGAGCCGGCTGGCATGGGCTCTATCAGACATGGGGGAAGCTTCTAGCAGCTTCTCACAGAAGCCACCCCTGTAGCCCCCCCTGCTACCAAAACCTTGCCACGCAAACGCAATACAAAAGATCCTCATACCTAGATTCTCTTTGTCTTTAATTTTATAGCCTGGAGTATACATGGGTTAAATGCACGGTACACGTACCTCTGGTTGGCATTGGGAAAATGGAAGAAATTGAAAAAAAGATTTCAGGCTCTTGAACAGTTTGTTACACATCATAGATGTGGAACACGAATGCCTCATCACCAGAGGGACTGAAAACACGCAGTACCGGCTTTGTCAGAAGGTACTGCTGGTATTCACGTCTTCTGTAAATTGGGACACAGTAACTTCTTATTGCAAAATTAATGTGTATTATATAGTTGCAGCAACTTAAAAAGCTCTACCTTTTCTTCCTCTCTGCCTAGAAAGAAAAGGAAAAGGAATTGAAAGAGCAACACTTATAAGGATGTTCATACCATCTACTTGAAGCTTTTAGTCGCTTCTTCCTGGAGAGACCTACCTCTCTTCGGACTGTGTATGGTTCTTAGGCTACTAGCCCAGGTTTTCTGAATTACATCTAGCATAGATGAATAAAGAAAAGACAAATCTCCCCTTTCCCTAGAGGGAGGAGGGATGATTAAAAAGGCTTTTATAAGTATGTGTAGATATGTTCTGTTTTTTTTCCATTGTTGTTGGGTGGGGTTTTGGTTGTTGGGGGGAATCTTTTTTTTTTTTTTTTTTTAAAAACCTGAAGTTTCCCGTAGTTATTTTGTAAGGCTGATAACCTCCGCCCAAATCTCTATTCCAACAGTTTGTCTTCCATAAATGAAGCTACATCATCAAAAATTTGCCTACATGTCTTAGCTGCATAAACATTCAGTGTTGATTAGAGTAAGAGAAATATGAAAGTGCAATTTGCAACAAAATAAATAGATACTATATTGTATTGAAACATTATACAATATAAGTGGAAGTATTTTGACGTTCCTTTGTTCTGTGTGGTTTACCTCTTATCTCTGTTTGTCGTTTCCTGTTTCTTGTCCTTTCTATCTACAAAAACCTGCTGTAGGCCAGTGTTACGTGGTGGGTCAGCTGCTACCACTTCCTCTAACCCTCATCATGACAACACCAGGTAAAGAGTTATTTTTTTTGTTAGTCGTGATCCACTAATTTAGATTCTAAAATTCAGACTTCTGTTTCCCTATTTCTAGTGTCCTTATTGTAAAACACAATGCTCATTTCTACCCTCCCTCTCAACTCTTGAGATGTTTCAGGCCTTTATTCCTTACCCATCCAAGTCACCTGCAAAGACCTCACTTGTCTAATAGCTACAATGTGCCGCAGAATTCTGACTCCAGGTCACGGGCGAGGGAAGGCTCTTAGATTACACTAGCGGTACACTTCAAGTATTTTCTATTTAGTAGTGAGTTTCGTATTTTTATTGCTAGAAAATTTGGCCTTGCGCCACCTTATGTTTCCCAGGTGTTCTCAGTGACGTGCCTGTGATTGTTAGTTGTAGCTGGATGCCTTTTCACCGCCGTTATCTTGGCGGATTGACATCATTTCAGCGGAACCGGATACAAGATTGACACGTAATCTCCTGGTTGGGATGAAGGGGAAAAAAAATAGTCCCTTCCACATCTGTTGTTCCCATTTGCCACTACACTTCTGTGTTTTCATCGAAATGGAGATCACGTTTGTGCTTAAGTAGACACTGGATTCAAGCAGGTGATTCTCCTCTAACTCAGGAATTCAGGTTTTGTAGCAGCCCAAGAGATTATCTCAAGGGATTTCTTGCTGGTAACCCTCTTGATTTAATACCTGGAATGGTCTGGAAGTTGGTAGAGCAGCAGTGAGCTACTGTGACTTTATATTAAAATTATGTGACCTGGGAGGGAGGTGTGCCCATCTCACTGAAATGATGAGCCTCTCTGCTTTTCCCAAGAGACGGTGAGGGACAACTATGCTGTGGATCTGGTGGGATTTTCTCTTTTTTTTACCATCCACTGCAAATAAAAAAATGGCTCCAGAAAGACCCTCCTCAGAAATCTCTTTGGCTTTCAGAGGACCTGCAGTAGTAAGGAAAACTTGATTAATTTTTTTGTGTGGGCAAAGCTTCAGACTTTTTTTTAAGAGCAGAAATGTTCAAATTCTTTTATAATTAACTGAGGTTTATTTTAAAATAACTTTGCTCAGTTAGCAGTGTGGGCTTCACGGCACTGAGGAAATTAAAAAAACCCAACAGTTTCAGTCTTTTTAATATTGCCCAAACTGAAAGAATTATGATTCTATGATTCTAACTACAAGTAGTAAATGGTATAAATTATAGTTAAGTGAATTTTTGAAGTCTCCTTAGAATAAAAAAAAATTAATAATAGCCTTAATGAGAAAATCTTTTTCTAACATAAGGAGTTGCCAAAACTTTTTTTTTTTTTGGTCCCATACTGTGTTTTTAAAACAGTTATGAGTCTGTTGACAGACAATTGCTTATTTGACTATTCCCTTACTAAACGCTGTTTTTATCCTGATCTCACCTAGAGGCTTCCCTCTCCCTGTACACCCTTCCACCCAAAACCCCACAGCTCAAAACGTAATTAACCTCCTGTCTTTCACATGGTGTGGCTCGATGATCTCATTGTTATCTAAGTCCAGACTAATGCAACTCTCATCTAGAAACAGCAATTTTTATGTAGAAGCAATATATTAATGAACAATGGCACAGGGAAGCTTTTGTCAAGTTGTCGGTCGGGGTGCAGGGGGGAAATCTTGCCTGAGCCGAGGGCATTCTGTAGACGTTCGCTGAAAGTGATGAAATGTTGAACAGGCAGGGCAAGTCGTATCCGCCCTTCAGCGCGTTCTGCAAGCTTCAGGAATTCGATGAAAGAACAGGCAGGGCAAGTCGTATCCGCGCTTCAGCGCGTTCTGCAAGCTTCAGGAATTCTACTCGTACTCACGGTAGTCAGAGTTGACCATTAACTGTCATTAAACGCTACCCATTCTTTTAGGTGTATTTTGCTGTGAATTTGGTAGCCTTGACATTGTTGTGTTCAGTTTCCTAAGCTGTTTGCAGCAGTTGGCCGTATGGCCTAGGGAGAAAGCAAGTCAAGGGGAACCAATGTGGGAAACGGAGGTTTTAAGATAAGAAGTGAGAAACTCAGTGGTAGGTGCAGCATCAGGAACGACTTTTACCTGTTAGTTGTTGGAAAAGAATCTGGTTACGAGGCAGCATTTGGATGATCAGAACACATACTTTATGTAGACTTTTCCCAACTGATAATAAATGTGCCGTATTTAATTAACTTGCTCTGGAGTTAGAACAATGCTTTCTCTGAATCGCTACGCTAAGAAAACCAAGAGGTGCTCTGGGCACAAACTTTCTAATGCATGCAAAGTTCAGCAAGCAGTGACTCCGCGCTAGACTCTCTATTTGCAAGGTTCTCTGCCTAAAATACTGAGATTAATGTGACTGCGATCATTAATCTCGGTAGGTGTCCACTTGGGATATTTACGTAGGTACCGAGCGTAAGACACCCAAGTCTTTCCAAGTCTTCATTTGGTTATTTCTAATCCGTTGCCAGGTCTCTTGCAACTTCGGCATTTTAGCTCTGGCAATGTTCAGGTTTCGTTAATCAGTTAAATAACTGGAAACAGTCTTCTGAGAGACCAAGTGACAGCAGGAAGTCTGTCTGCGTGGAGAATCTTCAAAAACATTTAAGTGCGGAGAGCAATAAACCCAGATCCAGTCAAGCACTTACCCACTTCATTGGTGTTTGTGCTTTATTCCGTTAGGATCCGATTGACACAGGCAGCTCTGTAAAAGCTGGGAAAAAAAAGTTCTACAGTTCTTCTCTCCGTCACCACCAAAAAAATACATCTACTAGAATGTTGATAAAGTACGGTACTTTGCGTGGATGAGACAGCTAAGCTATCTCCCTTGTTTGATAGGTATGGTCTTTCCAACTTGGATACTACGCTTGAGGGAACACCGGATGACATGACAGTGGTAGATGCTGCTTCCTTAAGACGACAGGTACGTAAAGCATAGTACTTGATAATATTAAGAAAAAGCTGTAGTGGTAAAATGGGGGAAGAGGTTTTCTGCGTGGCCGCAAAGGTATCCGTACCAGACAGGATGAGGGATCCTCTCTGTACCCCTGCCGGACGGCCCTCGCGTATCCTGCGTTGGTCTGGGAATCTGGAGAGTCCGACTCCATTTCTGTTCCTACTTACTAGGGACAGCAAGACCTGATCACTAGCGATTGAAGATAGAAAGTCCAATTATCAAGTGTTTAAAATCCATCTGTCCGAGCTACTAATTTTACATGGCTACGCAGAAGCTGCTGTAAAGTCTGGCAACTTTTAATGAAGTATTAAAAGCTTTTATTTATTTTTAGATAATCAAACTTAATCGCCGTCTACAACTTCTGGAAGAAGAAAACAAAGAGCGTGCTAAAAGGGAAATGATCATGTATTCAATTACTGTAGCTTTCTGGCTACTCAATAGCTGGCTTTGGTTTCGGCGCTAGACACAGCTCTCGGAAAGATTTAATAGTTGAAAATACAAACAATTTGCAAAATTCTTCGTTTCTGTTTCTGAATTGTATGCTGTTTTATAATTCATACACTGGAGACTTCCACCAGAGATAAAGGCCATAGAATCGCGGTGTGAAAGGCACACCTTGTTGTTCAGTTATAGCCTATTTAATAGATTTGCATTGCAAATACTTGCAGTATCCTCCTTTGCATGCTTCGATGTAAATATGGGTCAGCCGATATGAAGTTTGCTTCGTGCCATGTAAGGACAGTGATCTACAGGAATAACCACTGGATGTTTTGTTGTGGCGGGAAGAGAACAAATGGAACGGGTTTGGAAAAAATATAAAAACAAAGGAATAAAAAGTAGTTTTTATCGTTCTGTTGTTAGACGCAATTAAACATGATTGCACTAGTTTTCCTTTAGTCTGAGTAGTTTGAGGTGTGCCGTGTTCAAGGAGTGTGTCCTGTTTCACGAGTATGTTCCTTGTTTAAGCACATGTTCAGGTCAAATAATAAAAGGTATTCTTTGCTAACGTGCAGATTGCCCAGAGGTGTGTAATATGTATTTTTTTTTTTTTTAGCTTTAATTTTGCAGATGTTTTTCTATAAAACACATTTTTAAGCAAGTCGGTCTGTGCGTGATCAAAAGATTATGGAGTACAAGATACTGATGTAGTATATTTAATAAAAATCTCTCTGAAAAAAAGAAAAATCCCAAACCATTCTTTAATACTGTTTAAGAAAATTTATTTGAGGGTTCACCTAAACTATCAGGCTTTGAAGTAAGTAGTAGCGATGGACTGAACAACCCCAAAATAGCAGGCAGGCATCGGATAGCCCGCTGCAGGCTACCGTCCCCTGCACGTTGTGGGATTGTTCTCGGTGCGTGTGGCGAGTACGCAGGTACTCGCAGCGAAACGACTAATAGCGTCCGTGTGTGAGAGAAGGTGCGATGATATCAGAACAACGCTTCAGGGGGGACCTCTCCTAGAACGGCTGGACCTAGACCACCGCGCAGGACCGTTTCTGGGCTCCAGAAGTACACAGCCTGGCGAAGAGGTGATGGTACCCAACGGCTGCAGAAGAGAATCATAGAATCATTGGGGTTGGAAAAGACCTCTAAGATCATCGAGTCCAACCATCGACTCAACACCACCATGTCCACTAAACCATGTCCCTAAGTGCCTCATCTACTCGTCTTTTAAATACCTCCAGGGATGGTGACTCCACCACTTCCCTGGGCAGCCTGGTCCAATGTTTCACCACTCTTCACCACGTCCAGAAGGACGTGGGGCCTCTTTCAGCGGTGTCCTCGGCTCGCCCTGCGGCAGCAGAGGCCGCGGAACAGTACCAGGGCTACCTTTGTGCAGAGACACACGCCCTCCCACCACCAGCTGGGAAGGTCGCTTGTGCTCCTGGGCAGCTGGTGGCTGCACACTCTGGTTTGGCGGCGGTGGAGCAGGGCCCTGCTAAGGACAGGCTGTTCAGGGAGCATCGGCACGAGAAGCCCCAAGGGTTTCGATACGTACGCTGCGAGTGCCTGGTTAAGGAACGCTGCTCTCACGCATTTCACGTGCCATCGAGTCGAACAGGGCGTCGTACCCGGTGTTACGCGGCTTTTGCACTATTGCGCAGGCTGCCGTGCCTGCTTCCTTGCGCGTTTCTGGATCTGGCTGTTGCGTATGTTGTTTTTAAGCTCTGTTCGCCGTTTGTTACGCGACTCCGTTGGCTATTCAGGGCGTTTGCTGGGCACGTTTTCTTACCGTGAACGTCGAAAGCGCGTGCCTTCGTCTTTCCGTGGAAGACGACACGAAGGGAAGGGCCTGCTTTGCACGTTTTCTGTCTCTCTCTTACAAAGCTCAAGGCGTACCGCCTGAACTCCGGTGACGCAACCGAGGGTTAGAGCTACTCGGGATTTTACGGAGTTGTACGGCTCATAGGGAAAAATAAAGCCGCTTTCAAGGGATCAGACTTTCTCGTGCAAGCGGCAATGGAACCCAAGTAACCGCTAAGGCGCAGACTTTCAAACCACCTCCCACCGTGCGCCGCGGGGGCCGAGCGGCCGCTGAAAGAGAACCCCGTG